TTTTGATTTATCGACTTTTGGCTTTTCGATTTTCAAATTTTTCAATGTTTCGATTTTTCAGTTTTTCGATTTTTTTAATTCTAAATTTTTTGATGTTTTGATTTCCTGAGGTTTTTAATTTTTTAATACATACTTCAATTTTTTGATTTTTCGAGTTTTCATTTCCTGGATTTCGAGATTTTCAATTTTCAATATTTTATTTTTGGGAATTTTGCTATTTCTAGATTTTTCGTTTTTAGATTTTTTAATTTTTGGATTTTTAAATTTTTTTCCTCATTTTTGATGTTTTTTTTTATTTTGTGCTATTTTACGTTCTGTTTTGGCTCCTTTCACCCCGTTTTTTGTTTTTTTTTTCCTTTTTTGTCGACCATGCACGTTATACCTAGTCTTAATCGATTTCTTGAGGTGAAACAGCCTGTATAATATTAATAAATTTTGCAGCTGCTTCGAAATAATGGTCGTATATATGTCTGATGAAGCGAACTTCTTTAGTCGTTGTGGAAGCGCCTCGAACTTAATATTGTGTCATACAACATTACAGAGCTTCCGGGAATGTATATTTTTCCCACGTCTCAAATGTACGTACTTATGTAGAATATGAAACTATGCTTGAAGCTCTCATTCCATTAGGAAATCCGTTGATAAAGTCGAGCTTCATTCATGAGTTCATAACAGTTCCTAAATGGAGAAAGCTGAGCTTTTGGGTCAAAGATGCTTGTTCAGTAAATGAAAATGTTTATTTGAAACTGAATTTCCTGATTTTCATTCGTTTCTTAGCAGCCTCGAAACATTTTCCACTTGCACAAAAGTGCGACTTTTTAATATGTCGTCTCCACCCTTTAATAAAAGACACAAGGTTTCATATCGAATTAGGAGCACCTGGTGTTTTCATAAAATTTTAGCGGTTCGCTACACACCTAGCCAGACTTTCACTTCTCTTAGTCGGATTGTTCCTCTGAATTTAGTGCAGATAAAGGCTGCAAAATGGAGCTCGCCCGAATTGATTAAACACTTCAGGTTTGCACTACTCTTGATTTAATTGCCTGGCGGCGGAAAAATTCAATTAAGAACGTTTTAAATTTTTTCAATTATCACTTAATTTTTTGATTTTGGATTATTCCGAATTAACTCTCTGATTTGTTGATGTTTTTATGTTTCGATTACTCAATATAATTTTCGAATTTTGGCACTTATAAGTTTTCGATTTTTCAATTTCTCGATTTTTAGGTTTTCGATTTATCGATTTTTTGATTTTTCCATTTCTTAATTTCTTGAATTTTCGATGTTTTGATTTTCCAACTTCTCAATTTTTCGATTTGTCAGTCTTTTATTCCTTTAATTTTCAATTTGTCTTTTACGATTTCTCAGTTTTTTAGTTTTCCAATATTTCGATTTCTCGATTTATCGAGATATCCATGTTTCAATTTTATATTTGTTCAATTGCCCGACTTTTCAATTTTTCGTTTGATGGATTTTTTTAAATATTAAAATTTTCGATTATTCACTTTTTAATTTTTCGATTTTGGACTTTTATTCGATTGTCCAATTCAATTTTTCGTTTTTTAAATTTTTTACGATAGTTCAGTTTTGGAATTTGTCAATATTTCGAGTTTCTTGACTTCAGATTTTTTTATTTCTCGATTTTTCTATTTTTTGATGTTTCGATTGCTCGATCTTTTGAGATCTCGGTTTAAATTTTTTGGGTTTCTCAATTTTTCATTTCAGATTTTTCGATTTTGCAGTTTTTCGGTTTTCCAGTATTTCGATTTCTCGATTTTTCAACATCTCGATTATCCGATTTTCTCATTTCTTGATTTCTTGAATTTTTGATGTTTCGATTTCTGAACTTCTCAATTTTTCGATTTGTCAGTTTTTCATTCTCTTAATTTTCGATTTCCCAAATCAATTTTTCAATTTTTTCAATTTTTTGTTTTCCAACTTTTCGATTTTCAGTTTTTCGAAGTTTCAGTTTTGGGATTTTTCGATTATTCAATTTTTCGATTTAATAATAATAATAATAAGTTTTATTACGTTTTTACCATTTTTCAGTTTTGAAATTTTTCAATATTTCGATTTTTTTAACTTTCCGATTTTTTGGTTTCTCCATTTTTTGATATTTCGATTGATCAATCTTTAGATGTTTTGACTTCTCGGTTTGAATTTTTTAATTTTTCGGTTTTTCCATATAAATTGGATTTTTCGATTTTTCAACTTTTCTTATTATCAATTTTTTCATTTCTTCAATTTTTGATGTTTCGATTTCTCAATTTCGGTTTTTTAAATTTTTAGTTTTCGACTTTTCGAATTCCAGTATTTCGTTTATTGGATTTTTCGTTTTTCAATTTTTCCATTTACAATTTCACGATATTTCAGTTTTTTTGACTCTCCGATTTTCGATTTTTATACTTTTCAATTTTTCTATTTTTTGATGTTTTGATTGCTTGATCTTTCGATGTTTTGCCTTCTCGATTTTAACTTTTTGGTGTTTCAATTTTTCAACTTTGATTTTTCGATTTTTCAGTTTTTCGGTTTCTCAATATTTCGATTTTCCGATTTTTGGTTTTTCAACTTTCGGATTTTTCGATTTGTCAAGTTTTTCAAACTCTTAGTTTTCGGTTTCCCAATTCAATTTTTCGATTTTTTAAATTTTCGACTTTCCGATTTTTCAATTTTTCGATTTACAATCTTACTATATTTCTTTTTTGGAATTTTTCAAGATTTAGGTTTTTCTGACTTTCGGATTTTTTGATTTCTTAATTTTTCAATTTTTGTATTTTTTGATGTAACGATTTATAGATCTTTCGATGTTTTGACTTCTCGGTTTTAACGTTTTGATTTTTCAATTTTTCAACTTTGATTTTTCGATTTTTCAGTTTTTCGGTTTGTCAATATTTCGATTTTCCAATTTCTTGATTTTTCGACTCTCGGATTTTTCGACTTTTCGAATTATCGATTTTTTCATTTTCCCATTTCTTGATTTCTTGTTTTTTCGATGTTTCGATTTCTCAACTTCTCAATTTTTCGATCTGTCAGTTTTTCAATCTTTAAATTTTCGATTTTTCGATATTTTCAATTTTTCGGTATTTAAGTTTTGGAATTTTTCAGTGTGAATCTTGAAATTTTCGATTTTTGGTATTTGCAAGTTTTTGATTTTTCGATTTATTGATTTCTCAATTTATTAACTTTTCAGTTTTTCAATTCTGAGTTTCCGATTTTTCAGTTTTTCGGTTATTTCGGTTTCTCGATTTTTTAAATTATCGATTTTTCGATTTTTCAGTTATCAATTTTTTTATTTTTTCATTTCTTGATTTCATGAATTTTCGATGTTTCGATTTCTCAACTCCTCAATTTTTCGATTTGTCAGTTTTTCATTTTTTAATTTTCGATTTTCCAATTCAATTTTTCCATTTTTGAAATCTTCGATTTTTCGACTTTCCGATTTCCAGTTTTTCGAAGTTTCAGTTTTGGGACTTCTCGATTTTTCAATTTTTTTGATGTTTCGATTGCTCGAGCATTCGATGTTTTGACTTCTCGGTTTTAATTTTTTTGGTTTTTCAATTTTTCATTTTTGATTTTTCAGTTTTTTCATATTTCGATTTCCTGAGGTTTTTAATTTTTTAATAATTCAATTTTTCGATTTTTCGTTTTCAGTTTTTTCAATTTTTGGAACTGTAAAATTTTTGACATTGGGATTTTTTAGTTTTTCAATTCCGATTTTCCGATTTTTCAGTTTTTCGGTTATTCAATATTTCGATTTTTCGATTTCTCAACTCCCCAATTTTTCGATTTGTCAGTTTTCAAACTCTTAATTTTCGGTTTCCCAATTTAATTTTTCGGTTTTTTAAATCTTCGATTTTTCGACTTTTCGATTTCCAGTTTTCCTAAGTTTCAGTTTTGGGATTTCTCGGTTTTCAATTTTTCCATTTTTTGATAGTTCGATGTTTTCACTTCTCGGTTTTAACTTTCTGGTTTATCAATTTTTCAACTTTGATTTTTCGATTTTTCAGTTTTGATTTTCCGATTTGTAGTTTTTCGGTTTTTCAATATTTCGATTTCTCAATTTTCCGACTTTCCAAATTATTGAATTAATGATTTTCCCATTTATTTATTTCTTAAATTTTCGATGTTTCAATTTCTCAACTTTTTCAATTTTCCAATTCAATTTTTCCAATTTTTTGATTTCTCGATTTTTCGACTATTCGAGTTATTGATTTTTTGATTATCCCATTTCTTGATTTTTTGAAGTTTCGATGGTTTGCTTTCTCAACTTCTCGATTTTTCGATTTGTCAGTCTTTTATTCCTTTAATTTTCAATTTTTCTTTTACGATTTCTCAGTTTCTTAGTTTTTCAATATTTCGATTTCTCGATTTATCGAGATTTCGATGTTCCTATTTTATATTTCTTCAATTGCCCGACTTTTCAATTTTTCGTTCATGGATTTTTTAAATATTAAATTTTCTGATTATTCACTTTTTAATTTTTCGATTTTGGACTTTTTCGGTTCGGCTTCCCAATTTCTTGATGTCTTCATGTTTCGATTTCTCAATATTTCGAATTTTCGATTTTTCGATTTCTCGATTTTTCCACTTTCAATTTCTCAATTTATCAGTATTTCAGTTTTGGAATTTTCAGTGTTTGGATTTTTGGAATTTTCGATTTTGGACATTTTCAAGTTTTGGATTTTCGAATTATAGATTTTTTAATTTTCCCACTTTTTCATTTCTTGAATTTTCGATAGTTCAATTTCTCAGCTCCCATCATTTTTTTGTTGGGGGAAACGAATAGACGTAACGAAGTGCATTTATTAAATATTTTATTGCACAATGTAATCAAAATAGACATAATTTAATTATAGATTAATAATACCAGCAAGTAATTACAGGTACGTATCGACCTAGCTGTATCCTAAATAAGATTTACACTTAAATACATTTTAGTGCCTACAACGATTTCTAATAAAATTAAAGGGCACGCAACAAAAATAACCGCCTTAATCAACTTACAGTCTTCTTGCTAACTCTAACTACATAAATTACTTAATCGCATTAGCGTGAATTTTCCTAGCGGGCTGAAAACTCCTACTAGCGAAAATTCCATATTTCATAAGTTATCCGGAAGACCGCACTCTTCCGTAACAAATAACAAAACTTTGGTTATTTCTTTGTAACAACCACTGGGAGTGAGCTTACATCTTAACAATAAAACTGGAGAACACCACATGTTAGACTGCGCAAATTATATCCATTTTCCGAGTTTCTTCCACCGTTACAGTTTCTCTCCGCTTAAACTCATCATGTTGTAATAGGAGTGATCGGGAAAGCGCTCTAATTCTATGTAGTCGGTTTCTGTCATCAGGAGCTTCTCGAGCAACTGGACGCATTCGGTGAAGGTGGGCCTCTGCTTCGAATCCTTGTCCCAACAATAGTACATTATGTTGTAGAGTTCGCGTCTGCAGTGCTCGGGTTTGTCCAGTCGATATCCGTCCCTAACCTGGAAAATATAATCAAACTATGTAATTGGATTCGGATTCGGCTATTTCGTTGGACGCAACTACATCGGGATGAAATTTTAGGAAAATAACGAACATTCCTGGTGAATTTGTGAGGAGGAAGTTCATAATTCTCGAGATTTCTTTGACAGGGGAACTCGTTTTGCAACGAAGGCTTTAAGTTTTTGTAAAGGGATGAAGATTAAAGCGAAAGCTAAAGGTGTAGGTGGAAAAAGTGATAATTTCGAGCATTTACAGTGTTTCGGAATATTTTGTAAGGCGTAAGATCGGCCTACGCGGTCATGATTGAACCGTGGTAATCAACGATTATTTAGTGTTACTGGAGCTGTATCTTATAACAATATTTTGAAGGAATGTCTAATTTTCTAATTAATCTGAAAATGTTGTGGAAGATTAATACATTTTTCCCCTGGAAAACATTCTGTGCTCGCATTTGTAAACAACGCAGAAGTTTCCATTTGTGTCGTTGTTTACAGTATGAGATTTTTTTTGCACATTTTTTAGATGCTTTGCCATCTTGTTTCGCTGGTCTGTAATATGTTGCGTTGAAAATACGGATATTTTGTTGATATTTACAATTCGCTATTTATTCGAATGCTGTTTCTACGATAGTCTTCAAAATTTGGAGAAAACTTTTATCTCATAATATGAAAAAAAAAAACATTTTTCACCGTAGCATTTCTATATATTTCGAAAATTACTACTATTTTTCAAAATGAAATTTTATGAAAATTTTGTGTTTTTTCGAACGTCGAATATTACCTAAAGATTTTTTACGGATTTCGATCTCTAGAACTTATTTTTGGTTTCATTTCTAAGAAAATTCATAAATAGTACTTTTCAGGAATTGCTAAATTTTTGATTTTTTGGGTTTTCGATTTTTCCATTTCTCTTTGTCAATTTTTCTCGATTTTTCGATATTCCAGTTTTGGGATTCTTCTGTTTTTTGATCCTTCAATTTTCAATTTTTTAACTTTTTCCTTTCTTAATTTGCAAGTTTTTGCGTTTCTAAGTTTTGGATTTATCGATTTTTAATTTTCGATTATTCGATTTTTAGATTTTTCGGCTTTTCGATTTTTAATATTTTGATTTAACAATTTTTCAATATTTCAATTTTGGGATTCTCGATTCCTCAATGTCTCGATTTTTCAATTTTTCTATTCTTTGACGTTTCGATTGCTCAATCGTTCTCGGTTTTAATTTTTTCTTCAATTTTTCAATATTTCGATTTCTGGATTTTTCAACTTCTCGATTTTTCGACTTTTCGATTTATCTTATTACTACTTTTTACGTATTACTATTATTTTGTTTTCCCATTTTTTGATTTATCGAATTTTTGATGTTTCGATTTTTCAACTTCCCAATTTTTCAAGTTGTCAGTTTTTTAATCTTTTGATTTTCGATTTTCAAATCCAATTTCTAGATTTTTTGAATTTTCGATTTTTCTGAATTTCCGATTTTCTCGATTTGAATTTTTTCGGTATTTCAATTTCTCAATTCTGATTTTACGATTTTTCAGTGTTTTCCTTTTTTTAATTGTTCGATTTTTCGGTTTATCGATTTTTTTCCAATAAATTTTTCAATTAATCACTTTTTAATTTTTCGATTATGGACTATTTTCGAGGTCTCGGTTTTTCGATTTTTCAGCTTTTCGGATCTTTGATTTTACAATTTTTTAATATTTCGATTTTTCGATGTTTTAATTTTCTAATACACATTTCAATTTTTGATTTTTCGAGTTTTCATTTTCTCGATTTCTAGATTTTTCAATTTTCATTATTTCAATTTTGAAAATTTTTCTATTTCTGGATTCGTCAGTTTTCGATTTTTCGTTTTTAGTTAATTTTAGGTTTTTAAAATTTTTCCGATTTCTCCATCTTTTTATTTTTCGTTTTTTCGAGTTTCCGATGTTCCAGTTTTACGATTTTTCAATTTTTGATTCAATTTTCGACTTTTTGATTTTTTTCTTTCCTTAATTTTCAATTTTTGACGTTTCTAAGTTTTCGATTTGTGCGTTTTTCCAATTCTCGATTTTTCGATTTTCCAACTCTTCAGTTTTTGAATTTTCGATTTTCCGGTTTTTCGTTTTTCCGACCTTTTGTTCGATTTTGTATTCGATTTCAGAAGTTTTCAATTTCTCGATGTTTGAGTTTCGGGATTTTTCAATTTTTCTTTTCATCGATTTATCAATTTTTCAATATTTCATTTGCAGGATTTTTCAGTTAATTCAACAATTTTTTAATTTTTCAATTTCTCGGTTTTTCAATTTTTTAATTCGTCAATTTATCGATATTTTAATATTTTGATTTTTTTTTTAATTTTCGACTTTGGATTTTTCGATTTTTCAATTTTTCGATATTTTGGTTTTTCGATACCTTAAATTTCAGATTTTTCGATTTTTGCATTTATCACTTCTTCGATTTTTCTATTTATCAAGTTTTCGAATTTTTAAATTTGAAATTTTTGATTTTTTTCAATATTTTGATGTTCCGATTTATCGATTTTTTCGAATTTTTAAATTTTCAATTTTTAATTTTCCATTTCAGTTTTTCAGTTCTTCAATTTTTCTATTTTTCAATTTTTGCGATTTTTTCAAGTTTTCAAATTTGGATTTTTTAATTTTTGGATTTTTCATTTGTCGATTGTTAGATTTTTCGATTTTTTTACTTTTCAGCTCTTAGTGAAAACTCTAATTTCTAGATTACAGATTTATCAATTTTTTGATGTTTAGATTTCTCAATATTTTGGAATTTTAAAATTTTTGATTTTTCGATTTTTCAATTGTAAGGTTTTTCAATTGCTCGATTTTTGACGTTTCTAAATTTTCAATTTTTAGATTTTTCAATTTCTCATTTAATTCGATTTTTCAGTTTTTCAGTTCTGAAAAGCTGACTATGTATATTACGAAAAAAAAATTTCAAAATTTAGATTTCTCCATCTTTTTATATCTTTACGGTTTGTCCATTTTTCAAATTTTCTCGATTTCTCAATTAATTGATTTTTCGATTTTTCAACTCTTCAATTTTTTGATTTGTCAATTTTTCAATTTCTTAATTTTTTAGTTTTTTAATATTTCGAGTTTTCGGTTTCTAGATTTTTTTAATTCTAGATTTTTTGATGATTTAATTTTTTAATTTTTCGTTTTTAGTTTTCTAATTTTAGGTTTTTCAAATTTTTGACTTTCGGATTTTAGAATTAAAATTTTTCCGATTTCTCCATCTTTTTATTTTTCGCTTTTTCGAGTTTCCGATATTCCAGTTTTACGATTTTTCAATTTTTGATTAAATTTTCGACTTTTTGATTTTTTTCTTTCCTTAATTTTCAATTTTTGACGTTTCTAAGTTTTCAATTTGTCCATTTTTCCAATTCTCGATTTTTCGATTAATCGATTTTTCGATTTTCCAACTCTTCAATTTTTGAATTTTCGATTTTCCGGTTTTTCGTTTTTCCGACTTTTTGTTCGATTTCAGGAGTTTTCAATTTCTCGATGTTTGAGTTTCGGGATTTTTCAATTTTTCTTTTCATCGATTTATCAATTTTTCGATATTTCATTTGCAGGATTTTTCAATTTTTAGATTTTTCAATTTCTCATTTAATTCGATTTTTCAGTTTTTTAGTTTTGAAAAGCTGACTATGTATATTACAATTCTTCAATTTCTTGATTTTTCAGTTTTTGAATTTGCGATTTTCCGGTTTTTCGTTTTTTTCGACTTTTTGTTTGATATCAGGATTTTTCAATTTTTCGATATTTCAGTTGCGGGTTTTTTAAATCGATTCAACAATTTTTTCATTTTCCAATTTCTCGGTTTTTCAATTTTTCGATTTTTTTGATGTTTCGATTTCTGGATTTTTCAGTTTTTTGATATTTTAATTTCTTGATTTTTTTAAATTTTCGACTTTGGGTTTTGGTATTTCTGGATTTTCAATTTTTCGATATTTTGATGGCTCAATTTCTACATTTTTCAATTTTTAGATTTTTTGGTTTTTCGATATTTTCATTTTTCGATACCTTAAATGTTACATTTTTGGATTTCCCGATTTATCATGTCTTCTATTTTTCTATTTTTTAAGTTTTCGAATTTTTAGATTTTAAATTTCTCGATCTTTCCATTTATCAATTTATTAAATTTTAAAATTTTCAATTTTTAATTTTCCGTTCGGGCTATTTCGATTTTTCGACTTCACGATGTATTAATATTTCGATTTCTCGATGTTTCAATTTTTCGATTTTTCAATTTTTTCGTTTTTCACATTTTTCAAATTTAAGATTTTCGGTTTTCGTTTTTTCCATTTTTCGATTTCTGGATTTTTTAATTTTTGAATTTTTCATTTGTCGATATTCAGATTTTCGGTTTTTCAATTTTTGGAATTTTTTAATTTTCGATTTTTCAATTTTACGGTTTTAAAATTTTTCGATTTTACAATTTCTCTATTTTTCGAATACCCAAATTTCCATGTTTCGATTTACTGATTGTTCAATTTTTCTCTTTTTCTATTTCTCAACTTTCAAATGTTTCAATTTCAAGATTTTTCAATTTTTTGACTCTTCAATTTTTCGATTTTTAATTTTTGTCAATAGTTAATTTTTTGACATTTCTAAATTTACAATTTTTAAATTTTTCAATTTCTCATTTAATTGATTTTGAGTTTCTCATTTCTCGATTTTTCGACTTTTCAATATTTCGATTTTTCAGTTTTTCAGTTCTGAAAAGCTGACTACGTATATTACGACAAAAGTAATTCAATTTTCCGAAATCTCCAACTTTTTATTTTTCGTTTTTTCGATTTTCCAATCTTACAGTTTTGCTATTTTCCAGTTTTTGATTCTTCAATTTTCGATTTCTTAATTTTTTTCTTTACTTAGTTTTCAATTTTTGAAGTCTCTAAGTTTTCGATTTGTCCATTTTTCGAATATTCGATTTTTCGATTAATCGATTTTTCGATTTTCCGACGTTTTGTTCGATTCCAGGATTTTTAACTT